GGAGACATAGGCTGCAATGCAAGTTAGCTTTCGCTATGGAGTCGAGGCGACTGGAACGCACTGGCGTAGAAAATGGAAGTCGCAACCGAAAGGCCCTCTGGTGGTAGGTTCAAAGCCGTTGTCATTCCTCCAACAGCTGCATTTCCAATGTTCGAGCGATCCAAGAAGGCAATAAGGCTGTGATTCGAGGTCATCTCCACGAAACTCGGCCAACAAAAAACGATGAAACGCGTACTATAGAACAATCAACACTGGCGCGATAAACGAATCCAACTTTCTCAGCAGCCGCTTCCTCTCTGCCGGGTCTATCTGATAGTCCAAGAGCTCTTCCTGAGTGTAGTCATCCGTGTCTCTATACTCAGTCTCAGAGGCTTCTGAACTTCGCTTTTCCGACTTGGTGATGGAGGATGGCATCGAGGATGTCATTCATGTGGACAAACGGTCTTTATAGAATTTCGGGACCCCGATGTGTGACGAAAGTCGATGATGGGGTCGGAATAGATTGTCATTTGCTCCGCACGAGACGAATACGATAGAGGGATGATGGTGGTCAAGTGATAAGGTAGACGAGGCGCCTGGCGGCAGCGATACTAGATAACCCTGAGCTTGCCGTTACGTCGACTGTTATCATCTCAAGCTCGTAAAGTTCATACACAGTATTCTCAAGACATGGATCATCATACTGTTTGTGTGTAGCATTCTTCAGCATAGGCGCAGCTTGAACTTGGAGGAAAAACAAACTCAGATTGGAATAGTTACTGTTCAGAAGATCGGCTTTTTCCGGCCCGGGAATCCAGACGATCCCTACTCGTACTCAGTTGTAGTGCTTTACAACAACTCCTTCAATGACCTCTTCTTGTACTTTCGACTCCCCGTGGGCCTCTCCTTCCTTGAATTTCGTTTTCGTACTTCCGTACGCCGAAGTTCTGCCCAACCTCCACTCCTTCATAGTCGGCGCCTGCTCATCCTCAAATCGTCGCTTGATTCCGTTTCGTTGCAGAACGGGACTCGAGGCAAGTGGCACCAGTTTGACATCGTCGTTGAGGAGGTTGAAGTAATACACACCAAGGCGGGTCACGTTGTGTTGGTCCGGTGGGGGTTGAACAACTCTAGTGGGTCACGTAAGTGAACAACGGAAAGTATACGCTGTAAGATCGAAAGCCGACCTGTGGATCGTAGCCTTGTAAAAACCGCCAGAAAGAAACTCGAGTGCATCGCCACCATTGATGATCTGTAGAATTTGACATTTTCAAACCCCAAGGACCGAGACAACAGCCCACCAGTACTTACAATCGCATTCTCAACATGCTTCACCCACCTCCATTTTCCATCCGACCCAAGTATCTGAAGTGCAGACACAGGCTGACTGTACAGCAATGTAATGGAACCGAAATCTATATCGTACGAAGCGAGCTTTAGTCTTCAAAACCCCGTATTCCTGGCACTACGTAGAAGACTTCCTCACCTGTATGTCCTTTGAACCACACGCGGTCTGTCTTCTCCTCGTCTTCTTCCGGTCTAGGATAGCTGGACGAGACAGTTAGGCAGCGAATCTATAAAAAGATACGACCGCGCTCACTATTTCATGAATCTCACTTGATTGAGACGACGGTTTCATCATAGACTGGAAGAGAGACAAAGAATAAAGCGTACCAAACGACTCCGAAACCTTTGAGAGGTCGTGCATGTCAACGAACGTTTCCTCCGGTATCTCCAAACCGGTTGCAAGAAGTCTATCCTCTAGTAGATGAGTAAAACTTATACCCCCAAGAGGCAAGGAACGTGCCGTAGAATCTGGTTGGCGACGTCGAAGTGGTTATGTTTCGCAAACGCGTCAATCTCAGGAATGAGTGGCTGTAGCACTTCCGGGTGGGTGCGCCTGGTAACGTCTCTGTTGACTGTTGTATGGGGAGTCAGAATTCCAAAATAATAGGATGACACTCGAGAGCGAACGCACTGTTATAGGATTCGATTTGATCCCTCACTCCTCCTTGAATGTGCTGGCGAGGTGCATTTTCAGCAATCCACATCACGCCGTTGCGACATCAACGTCTGTGCACTCACCCAATACTGGCGCAACTTGTAACCCTGGAAAGATCCCGTTTCATGGGGCTTCGAATCAAATTTCTTCTTCTCTTCCTCTGGAACTTGTTCAAACGGTACGTTCGCTATATCAAACATACGTTCCATCTTTAACACGAACAACCAGAATGAAATCAGTCGAGCCCTCATTCTGCTCATCGAAGCTTACCTCGGATGTGCTTAAACCATGATTGACAATGTACAAGAACCCCTGAGTTGTCATTGCATCGCGAACTTGTTCTGCGGCTGCTGTAGGGTTTGTACGAGCCTGTGCGAGGTCAATGATTGGGAGGTCAGCAAAGTCCACTGCCGTGCATAGTGAGCCTTCCAAGGGGTGTATAGAATGGCAAGTACACGCACATGGCTCCTTCGTAGGCTGCGCTGGGATATAACGGGGGACTGGAGGCAACTGAGCTGAGACATGGTTCCCGTTCATCTTTGTAGTGATGGTCATGAGTAATATTGAGGGGGGAGAGCAAGTACGACATGGGACAGGTATAAATATGGAGCTCCTTCCACACCTGACACGGAATGGTGAGAATAATCGAAGAGCCGGCTCGGAAATGAGAAGGTGCCGAATGTTGCTCTCGTGTCCAGTTCGGTATACCAATTCTAAGCGGACGCCCCTCTATCCTCGGGTTCCGCCTCCAAAACCTCCTCTAACCTTCTGCAGAGCCTCTCGAGTACCCACTCCGTCTCGCTAGCGTCACTAAACAAAGGTCCGTTGTCGTCCAAGAATTCTCCGGGATTGGCAGCATCACCTCCACTTAGCAGGCCCATCCATCTCTGCCAATCATCCCATTGGTATCTTCTCGGGGGCTTCTTCCCGATATCGACAGAAACAATCCTGATTTCTTTGGCAATTTTTGCCGCTAGGCTGCCCTGTTTGGTTCCGCGACTACCTTCAGCCATCTCAATCGCACCACCGAGTTTCCCAAGGTCACCACCCAACTGTGTCGCTGTTCCGTCTTTTCCCTTTCGTTCGGGGAGGAGCGTCCAACGTCCAAGCCAAAGCGTCCCATTTCGCACCCAGCTAACCACGGTATCACCCATGTTAGAGATGAGAATCGTTACGGCAGGTACAGCGAGAAGCGACCAGAGAACGAAGAAAGGTTTTCCAGAAGTGGATTGAGGGATGAAGTCACCGTAACCGATTGTGAGAAGCGACGTGTATGTGAAGAAGAGGGCTGTTGGATAAGACCACCCTTGAGCATCCTGTGATCAATCGGCATGAGTATCGCGTTCAAGCCTTCGTTTTCAGAATCGAGAGAACTCACCTCCGCGTACCAAAAAACAAGCGCACCGCATAACCACACCACAACAAAAACCAGAGCTGATACTCCAAGAGAAGTGTACCTTCTCGTGACAGAGGCGCGCTCTTGGATAGCCCTCATCGTGTCAAATTCCTCTCTCGACCACGAGTTGGAGTTCGCTGATCCCTTTCGGCCATCTCGCCATTTCGCTACCGCCCTAGCTACAGCCCGTTTCCCGACCTTTCTCTTCCCGCGCTCTAGTACCAGTCCCCGAACGCTACCGACGACGAGACCAATGATGATGATTCCACCCACGGCCCACGGAATTAGCAAACCGCGACCAGTAGCTGTTTGTAACGGAAAGTCTGATCCCAATCCAATAGTCAGCAGGGTATAATCTGCCCAATAAACTGCATCCACAAAGTCCCAGTGTTCGACTCGTGCAAAAATTCCCGCACCAAGGGCAAGGTAGAGAGTAAAAGATGTTGTCTGAAGCATGAGAGTACGTTGTGGCATGGTGAGTACCTCAAACGTGGGCTTGTACACGCGAAGTGGGAGTCCAGGATGAGCACAAGCGTAGTTCACCGTGAGGAGAGTCGAGATGATGACATAGATTATTGCTGAAAGGAGTCCATAAAAGTAACTTTGAGAGACGCGATGGGAGGCACTACTGGAGTGGGCCAGTCGACGGCCAAGGATCAAGATAACGATGAGAGTGATTGACGAAAGATACCTGGACATATGGTGAGAAGGACCTGGCATCGAAATTTGAAGAAGACATACCACAGAATCACAATCAGAGGTAACGCAACGAGATAGCGGATCCGACGTGCGAAAGTGAAGAGTAGTAAGAGATTCGCAGCCAAGGCAAATCCCAGCGAAACAGTGTTCACTGCAATCAGCCATCCTGGATCCTTTATTCTTTCTCCGTTTTCACCTATTCTCCACGTCTGAACTAGAGCGCAAACAGAAAACAGGTTGGCGAGAGGACCCAACGTGCCCGCAGCCAGAGGAAACACCGTTGAAACAAACCACCACCGCCTGCAGCAAAGAAGTCAACGTTGAGCTTTGAGTGCAAATGCAAGACGTACGTAGGATGTAAGGAATCCAAGGTTTTCCTCTCTCCTACATGTTCTCCCTGGGATTCCTCTTGAGTCGACTTTCTCCGTCGTTTGACTGCCTGACGGTCACCTCCATTCTCCAGACCGTGACTGATTTCATTGGCTGTGGCTTGTATAGGTTCGTCTAGACCTGGATCATTCATGAGCGGCAAGGAATCAAGAGGCGAGGGGTCATCTCGATTGAGTGGTGGTAGCAGACCGAGCTGGGAGAACTCAAATAAGCGCTCTAGCACGGTTGTGACCGTTGTGCTAGTGTATCGAGCGCTTGTTTATCATCGGACATCCCTGCTCACACAAGTCACTGAAGCTCTGTCATGACCGTATGTATAGATTCGTATCATTCTCTACTTCCAAATCCAACGATCCTCCCACTCAGTGCGAGTGTCGTCCACTACCCACCCAGAAAGGATAGTGTCATCCAGGATTGACAAGGAACGCTGGTTGTCCAGCCGGTGTTTCACTGTCGCATTTGCTTCAATTGTTGCGTTATATAACGCTGCAGTGCCTCCGAGACCTCCCAAAAAGTCAGCGTGTCTTTTGATAGTAGCAGCAACTTGTTTCGATCAAGTGACCTCGGGGTACCAGAGAAGATATATGGGCCCCGCGCGCTACCACTGCGCCATGCTGCTCATGTCCTACACCCTCATCAAGGCGTATATAACTAGCACGTATTTACCTTGGATGGCCTCCACATAAAAATACAGTATGAACGCGACCAGCAGATATCGAGTACAAAAGATGCAGACGTGTATACCAGACACAAAAGAAGCCAAGTATAAGCAGAGTGACCATCCCATGGCATGGAAGAAGCATAACAAATGGTACATTAGTAGCCGTCAAACCGAGATTAGTGTAATCCAATCAATACTCATCAACATCCGAGAGACTAGCGTACTCTGACGCTCCATCCGTCCCCGTCCCGGTTCCCCTCCTACTCCTACTGGGTCTCCTCGACCCAATATCGAACTCATCGCCCTCAAGTCCCAGTCCCTCTTCATCGCCGTCAAACTCTTCAGGATCGTCCTCCTGGTACTCCTTCACAACCTCCCTCATCGCGTACCGCATAACAGGCGTGATCGGCACAACCTTAGGCCCAATCACCTCCACAGGGAACGGGTACATGTCATTTGTCCTTGTGGTGTACGTCGTATACCTCGACTGATACCTCGTTGACCTTCTCCTTCTGGTCGGCTGGGGTTGTGGTACCTGCGAGGCATACCTCGGGGGCGGTGGTGGTCGTTGTCGAGGAGGTGGTATCTCCATAGCCTCTGTCTCCGAAACAGGTACCATCACCATTTCCTCCTCGCTATCATTAGTCGGCCCTCCCGCGGGTGGTGGTGGAGGAGGCGGGCCTCTTATCGCGAACAACTCATCAGTGTTCAACATCGTCGTCGGGCTGGACGGGTCTTGCATGTACCCCGGTACACTTCCTGGTCTCGAATCGAAGCCACCTCCACCACCATTAGGAATGACCTCTGGAATCCTCTCTTCCTCTTCCTCCCCTTCATCCTCCTTGGTTTCAGAAGCAACGGCTTCAGTCCATCTCAGCTCCAAAACTCTTCCCTTGACCATACCATCCACAGCCCTCACCCCGAACTCCCTGCAAAGCATAAAATACGGCAGCCATTCAACACCAGGCTGCGTGATCCTCGCCATCACCTTCAGGAGCTGAATCGCCGTGAAATCATTGCTGGTTGCCTCCGGCTCGACATGCTCTTGTGCTTGCTGCGAAGGGAGTGGATAAGGGTGCGAAATAGGCGAGTAGATCCGGAACCCCGTAGGTGCAGGTGGAGGGGCTTGACCATCCTGATTTTGATTGTGGGAATCAGATCCACTAGCGTGCGGCGCCTGCGAAGAGTGTATGATGTGTAGATTCAACAGCGCGTGCGCCTGAAGGAAATGCGAGCTCGACTTGGGATCTAGCATCCCATTCGAGTTCACTACGCCACGAAAAATCAGTCAAAAAGTAGCTGGGGAAAGAGAAGGGATCCCACCGTAATCCCCGAGGTAGTCCTGCCAATGTACCAACTTTCCCCCGAACGCCTCCCACAACCTCTCAAACTCGAGCCCGCCTCTCAAATGCTCCGGGACATCAGGTAGGAGCTTTTCACGGAAAAAGTTCCGAGTTTCGGTTTTGGAGCAGTCGCCAATGGTAATGATCTATTCCGGAGCTTGGGATCAGTATCATGAAAGTGCATCGTAGGAAAAGAGAAACTCACCTTGCAGTGCTGCATAATATTCAACTGTCTCAGCCATGTATGATAGAACGGATCACTTGTAGCGTGGATGACATGGCACAGTCTATCTTGCTTCGTCAAAACAAGGAACGTAGACAGCAAGCAGTTCATCGCCTCCGACGACTGGATGAGAGCGGGTCTAGAGATTTGAAGTGAGCATTACGGGATAGGAACTGGCAATCCAAAAACCTACAGTTTGTGGGCCTCATCGAAGAATATGACCTGTCAAGTCGTTCGTAAGTTTCGATCGGACGCAAGGACTTCGTACTTACGGGCATCTTTTTCGCCGGCCTCTCCCTCTCCTCTCGCGGTGGCTCCTGTTCCTCCACCTCGTGTCTACGCTGAGGATTCTCATCCGTCCGTTTCTTCTCCTTGTTTCGGTCTCTCAACAAGTTCCGCAACTTCCATTTCTTCTTTCCCTGGCCCTGTCCGTGATCGCTCGATTGCTGGTGATTGCCGTTGGGATTGACATGCGTGCGATCAGTCGTCGCACTGGAACTGCTGTATTCTTCTTTATGCCCTCGCTTTCCCTTCCCATCTTCCTCATTGGCAAAGGGGTCAAACCTCCAGTACTTGAGGAGGGAGCTCTGATTGAGGGTCAGAATAAGGGAGACGCAGAGACAAAAAGCAGCCGCTCACCTGGAACAACTCCATCAACCTCGCGATATCACTCGTTTTCACCTTCTGTATCCCGCTATCGGGAGGAGATTCTTGTAATCTCCGCTCAACGTTGAGCCTATCGTGCTGTTTCTACCATCAGACATTGGATGACAGGAACAAAGGCACGAAAACTTACCTTGAAACTCCACGATTCCTTTTCGAACTCTTCATAGCCCTCCATCTGCTTCGAGATCCCGTCGAAATATTGCTCCATCTGTTCACTCAGACTCATGTACAGACTCGCCAGATCCGCGAAACCCGAGATCCGCAGGTCAAAATGGAGAACGTGATACTTTTCATCGGTGAGGACTTGTCGAAGTAGGGCCGTCTGTGCACGGAGACTGAGCACACGAAAGCCAGAGACAGAAAAGCGCAGAACTTGGCGTACCTTCCCCACTGAACTAGCACCGAATAGCACCGTGAACGCCGGGTCGCCCTCTAAGGCCCTCTCAATAGCCCGCAGTTCGGCATCGCGAGCGAAGAATCCGGGCAGTCGGGAAAACGTGTGTTTGGGGCGTAATTGGGCGCGTTCCCGAGTCTCGTTGATTTCGCGACGGGCTTCCTCAAGCAAACGTTTAGATTCTGTTAGAGAGCGGACTGTTTCAGCAGGCTGATTTTTGAGCAAGTGATGGTAAGTGCGTTGGCAGGAGGGCGTGCATGCGGTATTATGTGTCGGATGGAGCGAAATGGGACCCTTTAGTCGAGCTGGTCAGAGGAAATAGACAGAGGAACTTACATTCGTCAGAACTCCAATAATATCTCCCATCCCAAAGAAATTTCTCTTCCGGACGTCAGGCTGGTAATACGAAGATCTTCTCTGGGGGATGTTGGTTCGGAATAGCCAGTGTACAGAGCCTATAGCTGGGTATCCCGCGTGTCGACCGCCTACTGTTTGGGCCTTCCGCAGTCTGGGAGTCGGCCTAGGGATGGGTGTTCCTGTTGTACTCGTGGCAGAGAGCTCAGGCATGCGTATGGGCCGGAGGTGACTCCTAGATATCAATGAAGCAGTGAGCACTAAAGTACTGAATTCAGATATCAGAGTAACGGAGGATAATGAAGCTTCAATGGCGAAGCGAGGGTAGATAGAGGACAAGAAGAGGATAGGCCAACGGATAAGCAGAATTGGCGTACATATAGAGCTGATACATGCCTGGGCCTCGCGGCGAAGACATAGGAATTGCTGTCATTTGGAAACGAGGCCTAATGTGATGCCGTTGAAGTGTAATCGAACAAGGGAATGAGGAAACACGTTGTGCTATGGCTGTTTGAACACTGCGTCGGTTAATGGAACGATTGCGGGCGGTTTACACGAGGCAGGCTTAGAGGCGGTGAACGAGAACAAGGAGAGAAGAGTCAGAGAGCCCGTGCTCGCCTATATGTAGCTCAATTGAACAGAGAACTCTGAGGACATCGTTCAAGACGTCCTTATCGTCGTCGTGGTCGATGAGCAAGACGCGGAACGTGGGAAATGAATTAATGATACAGCGCGTCATGTTGTTTATAGCCTTACGTACATGTTGCCCTACTAGTCTCTTGTGCCACTGCCAACGAACCACAGCCAGAATTCATTTTTGGTCGTGTGCTCCAAATGCCGAGTCATCAGAATGTTCGATGCCAATTTTAGAAAGACACGGTCTCTGTGAAGGCGTTTTCGATGCTGAAAGGCGAATGTGCGTCTTGAAGTTCCTGGCGAAAACAGCCCCAACTCGATCTTGGTACTTCTGGACTGGTGGCCTATTTGGTGTCTTTAGAGTCCCAGCGAATACAACTTCATTCTGATCCAGAACTTGCAGTCTATGAAGGAAGGGCACGATTGTCATTGAGTTTATGATGACGATGCGATCTAATCACGATCGGGGGCCACTACTAGCAAGGCTACTAGACTGTTAGATCGTGCGCTACTCAACGAAACAACTTCACCGTAACTCTCGAGCCCACGGCCTTCATTGAACATTGCACCCCTTTCGCTTCACAAAACGGATGGCTAAGGATGTCGTCGCGAAACTACTCTCCACTCGCCAAAGAGCCATTAAAATCCTACGACCCACTAGCCTTTCGGCTGTTACAGACACACACAGATTATCTTCACAATTAGGCCGGCAAATCCATAGTCGATACAGTATCATACCTACCTAACACACCGGCAAATAATCAAGAACTCGACAAGAAAAACACTCTTCATCTCCATTGCAATCACGAGGCGTATGATATCTCCCCGGATTCCTCTAAGGAGGGATATTAGAGATACATCGAAATCCGCCCGTACCCGCGGACTCCACTGAAGGAAAGCAAGAAGAATGACAAGGTTACAGCAATCTGATATGAGTGCACGACGAGCGATGAACTCACGAGTGCATTGACTGCTACAGCATGCATCCGAGTCTGCAATGCCTGGGCATGAACCTGATCGCCAACCATGCTTCGCTAGTTACCGTGTTCCTCGATAAATGAAAGCGGAGAGGCCAATACTCACTTCCTGGTGGCAACCCGACCCCACGTCCATTTTGACACGAGACGCATCTCCCCCCTGAATAGCGGTCCGTAAGCATTTATAATGTACCTCAGAATCAGGGAAACGACCTACCACTACATCTGTTCGACGCGCAGTCGCGGTTGTCGCCACACCGAGCTGAGAGTGAATGATCATCAACAATTCTCGGGGTTGTTGTACCGTTTAATATCAGACACGAAACATACCATCGATGCTTCCTCGACCGCATTTTCTAGAGGCT